AAGGAAATTATTTAGTTACTGCAACCCGACCTGCTGGTAAAATTATTTATCCCCATTTTTTGCCCGTATGATGCACTGTAAGATTGATGCTTTTTATTTTTTCGTTGAATAAAACGTAATTCTCCGTGAATGAGAAAGGTGTTTCTGCCTAGCTGCCTACCCTCTCAAGGTCATGACGCAAGTTTCTTTCAGATCCATGTAGACTGCGGTCAAACCTTTCGCCGCATTGTTCTTCGCATAGTGCGACCGAGTGTGGTGCCCGTCTCTAACGGTCACGCATTTTCTCATTTTAATTTACGTTAATATGTTCTAACAGTTGCGGTACCCTTATGTAACGGTCATGTGTTTAATTTTAATTTACGTTTATGTTTCTTCCCCTTTCTGTCTCTCTCTTCCTCTGTCTCTCTCTCTCTCTCTTTCTCTCTATCTCTCTCTCTCTCTCTCTTTCTCTCTCCATCCCTCTCCCTCTCTCTCTATCTGTCTCTGTCTCTCTCACTAACACCTCGTGTCTCTGCTTGCAGACTCGGCTAGCGACGTCAAGGAGAACGTACACACGTCAGACAACCTGCAGCAGACCGCCGAGCCGATGGTCGACGTACAGCATGGCAAGAAACGCCCCGCTCCCGCCGCCGCCGTCACCGCCGACAACGACGATGACGACACAGAGGGCGCCGCCGCTCCGAAGCGCCGCAAGAAGGCGCGACAACGCAGCTTCGGGCCGACGGCACCGAAGAACGCACTCGTGCAGCTGAACGAGATCAAGCCGGGTCTGCAGTACGCGCTGCTCACACAGTCCGGGCCCGTGCACGCGCCCGTATTCACCATCTCCGTCAGCGTCAATGGGGAGCTGTACGAAGGAAGCGGGCCGACAAAGAAGAAGGCTAAGCTGTGTGCCGCGGAGAAGGCGCTGCGCTCGTTCGTTCAGTTCCCGAACGTGTCGGAAGCGTACCGCGCGATGGGCATGGGCGTGCGCAGCGCTGACTTCACGTCCGACGCGGCCGAGACCCACGACACGACGCTGTTCAACGCGTTCGACGGAGAATGCCCCGACGCAGACACCCCGCCGCCGCCGCTGCAGGAGAACGGCGTAGGGGGCGCTGCTGCTGCTGTCGTCGCCGGCATCGTGCATCCGCCGGTGGGAGTGAAGGCCCCGGTTCCCGCGCACCCGATGGGTAAGAACCCCGTCATGCTGCTCAACGAGCTGCGCCCGGGACTCAAGTACGAGTTCGTGTCCGAGACCGGCGAGAGCCACGCAAAGAGCTTCACGGTTGCCGTGACGATCGACGCGCAGGTGTTCCAGGGCTGCGGCCGCAACAAGAAGATCGCCAAGTCTCGCGCCGCGCAGGCCGTCCTCTCAAACATGTACAAGATGGAGTTTGCGTCGGCGCCGGCCGCGCAGCCGATCCCATGCGAGGGAATCCAGCTGAGCGTTCCGCAGGTTCTCGCTGACAGCGTACACGCGCTCATCATGGAGCGATTCCGCGCGCTCACCGACAACTTTGCGTCGCCGCACGCGCGGCGTAAGGTTCTCGCCGGCTTCGTGATGACGGTGGGCGAGGACATCCGTAACGCGCGCGTCGTGGCGCTGGCCACCGGCACCAAGTGCGTGAACGGTGAGTACATCAGCGGCCGCGGCCTCGCTCTCAACGACGCTCACGCTGAGATCATCGCCCGCCGTGCCCTCCTCACCTTCCTCTACGACCAACTCGCGCTGCACCTCATGCCAGAGGGCGCCGCCGCGTCGATCTTCCGTCGCAGCGACGAGGGCGATGACGACGACGACGACGACGGGGCGTTGTTCCGGCTGCGGGACGGGGTGAGGTTCCACCTGTACATCAGCACGTCGCCGTGCGGAGACGCTCGCATCTTCTCCCCGCACGAGGTCAGCTCGGACACGGACGGAGACCGACACCCGAACAGGAAGGCGCGCGGGCAGCTGCGCACGAAGATCGAGTCCGGGGAAGGAACGATCCCGGTGAAGGCGGACACGGCCATCCAGACCTGGGACGGCGTGCTGCAGGGCGAGCGACTGCTCACGATGTCCTGCTCAGACAAGATCTCGCGCTGGAACATGCTCGGCCTGCAGGGGGCGCTGCTGTCGCACTTCTGCGAGCCTATCTATCTAAACAGCATCATCCTCGGCAGCCTGTACCACGCCGAGCACTTCTCGCGCGCCGTCTACGACCGCGTCAGCCACCGCGAGGCGCTACCGTCGCCGTTCCACCTCAACAAACCCATGCTGAGCGGCATCTCGAACCCGGAGGCGCGGCAGCCGGGCAAGGCGCCGAACTTCTCCGTCAACTGGACGGTGAGTGACGACGAGCTGGAAGTGGTGAATGCGATGACGGGCAAGGCTGAGAGCGGGCGGCCGTCGCGGCTGTCCAAGCAGGCGCTCTTCACGCGCTTCCACGCTCTGTACGCGAGCATCGGGCCGGGCGCGAGCGAGCCCCCGGACGCGCGACCCCGCCTCTACTCCGAGGCGAAGGCTCGCGTCTCCCTCTACCAGCAGGCGAAGCAGCAGATGTACAAGGCGTTCCAGTCGGCCGGTCTCGGCACCTGGGTGAAGAAACCCGTCGAACAGGACGAGTTCGAGACGGACGGGAAATTCGACGACGTTGTCATCGACGACGAAGGCGACGCGGTGATGGGAGACGGCGGCGACGGCGTTGCCGTGGCGACCGCTCAGCAGGCATAACGACGCGCCCGCGTGCTCCCTCCCCCGTCTCCTCCTCCCCGTCCCGCGCGCAGCTGCTCTACGGTGATTCTCCGCGCGACGGGTTGCCGTGGCGACGGCGCCGGATGCAGACTTCATGCGTACGGTTTGCCGCGGCGATGAGAGCGCGAGCATCTGCTTTCTGTGAGACACAGACGTGTGAGCAGCGGTAACGATCGGTCAAACACGATGACCGGCCTGCCGATATACTGACCGGTCACGCGCGCATTGAATGGCCACGGACGGGCTGTACCCCCCACCCATACGCTCACCAGCTGCACCCATCACTAGAGACCTGCACCACTGACCTGCACTCAGTGGTTAAACCCACACTGACCAGTTAAACCTGCACTCAGTGGTTAAACCCACACTGACCAGTTAAACCTGCACTCAGTGGTTAAACCCACACTGACAGGGGAACAGCGACTAGTAGAAGCTAAACTGTCCAGTTGAACTTACCCTGTTCAGTCGACTCAACACGTATAGACATTACATGGCTTTACGCGCGAAACCTGGCTCTAGCGCGTCCGTATGACGTCACAAGCGCGAGAGTTTTGTCGCGACGTGAGCTCACTCGATAGAATGGCGCAGTAGCCAATGAGCAGTGAGCGTGGACTGGCCGACCCACAACGCACTAGGGTCAGTGTGTGTCGCGGACGGCGATAACACGGGTTCCGCCCAGAGCCGCTAGATGTCGCTAGGTGTCGTTAGTGTCTGGGTGCTAAAACGAATAGATAGGAAGTGCGTTTGTGATAGATGCTGTGTTGATTGAGAAATCTCACTATCTTGACTGCTGAATCTTAAAATTGATTTTTCGACAAGCCGTATAGCGATCAATGGTTCTGTATATATTCTGGGGTTATACGAAACAGGAATCTAATTTTCATTACACAAGTCGAGTTTGTCTAGCAAGCAACATCTAGCTAGCGACGTTGTGATTTTATTTTTATCTGGATCTGATGTCTTACTAGATACGATTATGTAACTTTGCACGGTGGTTTATGCTGTTGCATCTTCTTGGTATTATGTCTCACCAGATGTGTTTCATCACCACGTTAGTTATATTATTGTAATGCTTGTGTTTTCAAATTTCTCGCAGTTCCTTCTGCTGGAATTTGAGATGGTGAATGGTTTTAAACGCATGAACAGACACTTTATCATTTTTATAGTATATTCCTTATTAGACCATTCCATGGAGGTTGGAATCAATTATGTCAACAAGCAGATGTATAGAAAATCCCTGTCGAACATCTATGAGAAACGGGATTGCAGGCTGCAAAATTCATTGCAAAGCTGGTGTTTAACTCTGTTGTATCTGCATGCTTGTTAATTTCATTGCCAGGGTCAGAAAACCAGATTACAGTAGTGAAGCAGATGAAAATTTCCAGAACCAATAGAGATGACTTGTGTGAAAAGTAGTGTGTTATAGTGTGTTTGTTCTTGAGTTCTCAGCCCCACCATGTATATGTTAGCACATAATTATATCCATTTTGGTATTCGTTATTTCGTAGAATGTTTTCTGACAGCCAACCATTGTTCCAATCAGGAACTAAACCTGGGCTTCATCAATTAAATGTACGTTTAAATGTTTTAAAATATTTTAGTTATAATGTGTACTTTGTGTAGCCGGGTAGATTTTTCCTTTGATTCCTGCATGTATTCTATTGTTACTTGGGTTTAATCGCTTTGCAGTTTTTTATAGTTAGGTAACAATTGTTTAATATAAGGATGATGTTGCCACCCGACTGCAAATAGCGACGAACGCGGACTAGGGCAGAGCTAAGTAAATGATGTGCGTGTGTGAGTCACGGAACCGCTTTAGCACGCCAGTGCATGCCAAAATGATGCACAAGTAGGTGGCTGTGTTTGAAGATGCTCTGATGAAGTCCCCCTTCCCTGCGCGCGCGTGTGTATGTATGCGTGTGTGGTGTGTTTATGCGTTTGTATGTGTGTGTGTATTGGTGCCTGCGTGCGTGCGTGCGTGGTGTGTGTCTCTCTCATTCGTCTTCTCTCTCATAGTTTTACCGATTTCACGTAGGTGTTGTTCGCGTGACACATCTGGTGTGATCGACCCTAAAAGGTGGCGCCATTACGATGAGTTTGCCTGTAGCAGCAGCAGCTGTGGTCGTTAATTAGGTGCTGTCTTTTTGCGCAAACGAAAGAAAACATTTCTAATTTACTATAATTATTCTGAGGGGAAAACTAATGGCATAGCTGCGGTTTTATGCGGTATATTTCCCTTATATATGAGTCTCAATATAGCCAAACCCTATGGTATCCGAGGCAGTCTATTGGCGCCACCTGGCGAGCTTCAGCAGCGCGTCAACGGAACGATAATTCATTTGTTTACTGCGCGTTACAGACTTCTACATGTTTTCGTTGTGGGTAGCGCGCGGTACAGTGAGCGAGGACAGCTATGTGTGAGTGCCAGCGCGCAGAGTGTGGGCTTGTTACCGCAGCTAAATGATGCGTCAGCTCCGCGAGAGAAACGTTTGCAGACAGGCATCACAACTCTCTGCGGACCACGTCTAATAGAATGCAGCAATTCCTCTTCAGTCCGCCGGGGACTGTGATAAAATTTGCATGCAGAGTGGTAATGGTAAGGCACGCATCGCTGCCTCGTCTCTCTCTCTCGCTCTCTCTCTCTCTCTCTCTCTCTCTCTCTCTCTCTCTCTC